GAACATGATATAAATCCCTACCAACAATGCTGTGTCCATAGCAACTTGTGCAGCTTATACCAGCAACGCCGACCATCAGATACGTGTTGGCGTTATATCCCTCCAAGATGGAGTAAGTTAGCTCAACCCTTTATGTTAAAAATTGAYGTACTTTCATYGATAGTTACTTTGAAGTAGTTTCATGTTTTGGTTTGACTTTGTAGGTTGGTTTTGGGGAGACCCTCACTTCGTTACCCTTGATAACAAAAACTATACATTCAATGGTCTTGGTGAGTATRTCATGCTYGATGCCAAAGACGGACATTTCCAGCTACAAGCGAGGACAAAGCCTGCCAARGGTGAAGGGACGGCTACYGTATTCTCTGGTGCTGTTGCCAAGGAAACAAATACAAGTACAGTGCAGGTCACTTTAAGYGATTCTGGTAAGTGTCTTGAAGGACGTAGGCATCAATAGTTATATGTATCTTTTATACATTAACGATAACTGGCTATATTGATCCCTCCTTTTAAGATACAATTGAAGTTCGCATAGACGGTCAACCATTTAACATCAGTGGTCTGACTAATTCCTCAAAACGACTTAACGGATCAGTGACTGTATTAAAGCCSGAACCAAACTGTTTTGAAATGGCTTTTCCATCTGGAATGTCAGTTAGAATCTGTGAAAAACTTCAACAGCTTTCCATTGTCGCCGCTGCACCGGATTCGTTTAAAAATCACACGAAAGGTCTTCTGGGAACTTGGAATGGTGATAGTGAAGACGACTTTACATTGCCTAATGGGACGGTGCTTCCTGGGTCTAGCTCTGGAAGAGACATCCACTATAAATTTGGATTAGCTTGTAAGATTTTGTSTTTACAGATTTAGCATTAAAATGTATGATATTGTTAGAGCTCTAAGTCCGTGAAATACACTTAGCAATTTGACCACAAGTCAATGCCACAATGGTGTTTCTATAAAAAAGAATATCATTTTGCTCTGTTGGAATTGAGAACGTGTTGAATCTCACAATCCCTTGTAAAGCCCTATACTATTCTCAGTAATTTGTTAGTGATTGTTTAYCATTTGTTTGACAGCTTCTCGTCTACAATGCCACTTAAGGCTTTTTTACTGTTTTCCAGATTGCATAGATACGAACACGATTATGCCATAGTTGCAGCAATTTCAATTCATTTATGATAGCCCATAGTTTGGTTGATACTACAATGATTTATTTGGTGGTTCTAATCTCCAACTACTTAATTAATCATATTAATCAATAATTATTTCCAGGGCAAGTAACCAACGAAACATCTCTGTTCAAGTATGAACCAGGAGAGAACGTTCAATCGTTTACGAATGCTTCCTTCAAGCCAATGTTTTTAGACGACRAATTAACGTTTGCAAATGATTCACTAAGAAAGCAGGCTGAGGAGCTTTGTCAGGGCGACATAAGTTGCATGTTTGATGTGGCATCCACCAGAGATCTTGAAGTGGGACAAAACACGAAGCAGCTGAACACGCAGCTGGTCAACGACTCTAAGATAATGAGTAAGTCTATTCATAGATATTCTATTCCTGCTCCATACGCGTTTTCCTATCTCAGTAAAAGAAAAGAAAGGGTGAAAGGGAGAAAAAGAGGGAGGGAAAGGGAGAAATATAGGAAAGAAAAAGAAAGAAAGCTGCGACCTTCACTKCTTGGAGCTCCATCTTCTCTCTGTGTATTAGCGTTCGTTTAACGTCATCTCTTGTCTTTAAGGTAACGAGCCACCCAGAATAGACAACAGCTCACTAGTTTTGTTCTTAACTATTAATACAACGATCACAGTTGTTGTGAATGCCAGTGACCCTGACGGTGATGACCTAACCTTTAATGTAACTGGTCTCCCWGACAACKCTAAATATTCGACCAGYGCGAARTCCATCTCGATATCTTGGCAGGTGACGGAGAACAAGGTACAAATATATATATAATATACGGGTGCTTTCCATTTAGGTAGAACTGACCGGCCAGTCCACTCTATTTAGAGGTATATAATGCTTTTTGTCAACATTTTTCAGTCATTTCGAGGTTTTCTGTAGAATAATGGATAGAATTTGAAAATKTGAATTTCCTWACTAAATGGGATGATATATAATGGCATTTTCTCTGTTTCTGGTCAACCAKTTCTCACAAATGGAAAGCGCACTACGATTCGTGTATATCCAAATTTGTATGAACCTACATGTACGTARTTAATAATAAATGGAATTGCTATTCTTTTCAGCTCGATATTCAGTACATCGTCACAGATTCTAACAACGCTGTTTCATCAGCTAAGCCAACCATATATCTATGCGCATGTCATAATGATAGCAAATGCGAAAAACCGACCATATTAAACGACACAGACRCAAGCTCCAATGACACTTTCATTCAAATGTTATGCAAATGCAGTCCTGGATACACTGGAMGATATTGTGAAAKCGATATCGATGCATGTACTGCTAATATCAACCCGTGTTAYCCTGGTGTAACTTGCAATGATTTGCCCGCGCCAGCCAACATCATCAATGGATACGAGTGTGGTCCATGTCCGAAAGGGTTTAATGGGACGGGTGCAGACTGTAGAGGTAAGGTACATGAATATCTCAAACTGAGGCCGATTTTATGCAAGGTCGATATTGCTATCCACTGAGATTTGATCCTTATTGAGATCTGTAGAAAAAATCTAGCGCTCGTTGCTTTATACACCCTTCATACATRTTATTTCCACATGTGAAATTTGTACCTTTGTGGAATTTACATGATATTGCTCATTGAATTTCCAAAAAATACATTGCATTCATATATATCGCTTTAGGAAATATACATCATACTAATTGATATTSTGTAGTTTGCAGTTTTGATCGTAACATCGTTTTTCTTTGTCAGATATAGACGAATGCGTACAGGGGAAACAAGTGCATGGCTGTGAACAAAACTGTGGGAATACTCCAGGCTCGTTTGTTTGTAGCTGTAGACCCGGCTTTGAGCTTAATATAAACAGAAAATCATGCGATGGTAAGACCATTATTAAATAAGTCACGAGCAGATGTACGTTTTCCGTTAAAAAAATAGCTCTCCGGAAAATGACTGGAATATAAGAAAAAGACGGCAGATTGACCAGTCATCGGATTATCTTTTACAATCTTTAAAAGAAATATTTGTTATAGCGCTTTTGGATTGATAAAGAATAAAGTGTTATTAAAGTACACGTTCTGGTTGGCCAAAAACATTGCACACACACCGTTGTCTTCGTTCAACCGTTTCAATGAATCAGTTGTGTAAAAAGATAAACTTAACACCGTAAAAAAAGTATGTGAAATGACTTACTGACGTTTCGAACGTTAATCCTTCGTCGGAGTAAAGAGATGGAACTAGGTTAGTGTGAGTTTATATGGTAAGTGTTACAAGTTTTACGTGAGCAACGAAAAGTACCAGGATCGCTATTAGAATGAAGAACACCTTTGACTAGGAAAGAACGAAGGTTACGGTCACGATTATTAGATAAAAGGGGTCGGTCGTTAAAGATGTGAGAAGTGTTGGTCTCAGAAGTGAGTAAGAAGTAATTACGATTAATAATAGGCTTAATAGAACTGTTAATAGGATGATATGTAAGAGTGAAAGGAATACGGTTATTAGTCGCACGTTTCAATGCATTGCTTGTACTTTCCAGGGAGAGATTTAAAAAAATTGTTCCATAAAAAAATTGATTCCATTTTTCCGACGTCTACTCATCCATTTGAGTAGTTGAAGCGAAAGCATGCATTTTGCTGTGGTAGTTATCCGCAAAACCGGATGTTCCGAAAAACAAAAAGCGGCCTCGGCACGAAGGTCGTTTGATGGCAACTATGAAGTTTTCAGAAATAGTTTCGCCAAGGAAAACCATCACAGCAAAATGCCAGACATCTTTTTTTTCAAGCGGCGGGCTCAATGCAACTGAACGAACTACTGCCCGGCATACACTATCGCGTCACGTGTTCGACCAACTAGAGAACGGAGRGAATTTTTTGTTGAATTATAAACTCTATTAAGATACACAGAATGGTTATTGTTTTATTCAGACATAAACGAGTGCTTGCGAGACAAGGGTGGTTGTATGCATAAATGTACAAACAACGTTGGAAGCTTCAGTTGCTCATGCMACGAAAATTTCAAGACAGATCCACAAAACAGCAAACTGTGYATTCGTAAGTATTAACYARATWTACAGAGAAGACRCTTAGCATATTAACAACGAACGGTGGGGGATTTTGTTCATGTAAACATCCATATATACAGTCAATCTCATTATAATGTTATTCAGTTGGTTAGATTTAAAGCAACAACAAAGTCATTTGCATATATCATATTTGTATTTTTTACAAGATTAGGGACCCGTCATTACTTATCGACGAAATGAATCCAATGTTTCGGAAGAATCCGGAATCCAGCGCTTGGAATCCGGAATCCTCTAGTTCTCTGGATTCTCTTACATGGGGCGAACGAAAAGCTAAATGTCAAAGTCAATAACATTTAACTTGCAAGCACGATATGGAATTTTAAACCAAAATCTTTCGCTGGGATGAAAACACCTTTTCTGCAAATGACTTTGTTGTTGTTTTTATGTTGTTTACAAGTGAACAAAGTTAATATGAGCCCCTCAACATTGGAACAAGGGCATTTTTTTCATGGGAACAAGGGATATTAAAAGATTATTTTGCGGAATAAAGRGAACATTAGGTGCCATAAATGGGAACAAGGGAACACAAATTTCAATATTCAATGATTTTTTTATGATTTACTTGCAAACGAGATAAAAAAGTACAAGTTTACATGTCCGATTTATTGTTGCTATTTGACTTTTGAGCCACGCAAAGCATGCTGGAGTTTTATTCCTTCGACAAAAAAATTTGTTGATGCAGCCATGAATAGAAAAAGGAGCCATAAAATGACGTAGGAAGAGTAAGAAAATTTGAGGAACAAGGGCACATAGGGTAAAATAGTTTCAAAGAACAAAGCAATTTTTTATGGGGAACAAGGGATAAAACGGGAAAAAATCAAGGGAACATGGGAACATGTTATGGGCATAGTAATCTCCAAAAACCTATKTTTGCTTTTTGAAATTGCACGTTTGTGCCATGTCCATAAAAGAATACAAAGAAACAGATATTAAAAGATTGTTACAACAAATATAGAAAAATATAGAGGAATACATTCATCGCTCATGCTTTGTAGTAGAGAATAGAAAGATATACATCGCAGTGTAACAGTCACGTCCATAACACTGACGATATAAACACTGTCGTATATATTTTGCTTTTTCCCCTCTATGTAGTTGTACGCCTTTTTTGATCGTTTGAGTCTCAGTAGACCTTAACTGCGTATATAAGAGCCAAAACACTGCGAAAACAAGCCACAAGAAGTTGAAAAAAAAACGTCATTTTTCATTTGTCTTATCTTGTTTCAACAGCTAAGAMCCCCTGCAAAGACAACGATCATGGCTGCCAGGACGTCTGTTACGTYAATGCAGACAGGCAGCAGAAATGCTCGTGCAACCAAGGGTATAAATTGAATGACAATGGCAAAACTTGCAGCGGTATGACGTCATTATATTTGKTTAATTACGTCATGTATGTGTGTATCTGTTTGTGCTTGTGTTTACCATATTCTCGGCTCTTGTGCATAACGGAATTTTGAATGTTATGACAAATAATAATATATTTGGTCGACCATTGGCATCAGAACGAAGATAGTGATTGCATGGTCGAGACAATAAAAAAAAAGAATTGTAGGGTATGTAGGGTATAAAATGTCTATTRTTATTCTTGACATCTTCGTTTTTAGCATTGCCTGTCTCTCTTGTTATGATTTGATCAAATCGCAATCTTGTTCTGACTGTAGTCTACACCCCTATGTATTAGTGAAATCAGTTGACAGTGTTGTTATTTTTTCAATCAGATATCGATGAATGTTCTATCAATGAATATCGCTGTAATCAAAAGTGCCATAACAGCATAGGATCTTACACTTGTTCGTGCGTCCCTGGCTTTAAACTCTCAGATGACAAGGTTACATGCGTCGGTATGATACCTTTTATATGATATTTAGTATATTTATCATATGATTATCTATGCAGTACCTATTTATCTCTTTCGAAAAGTTGTTACTAACAAAAATGTAAAAAAGGTGTTTTACAACATATGATAATTATATGATAAACAGAATATTACATGTTCGGTTGGAGATGCGAATTTTAAATTTTCTTAGTTAATCGATACTATAGCAAGCACTTATTTCACTTAGCCTTTACCCTAACGTAGACGTATTGAAAAACACATATTGACAATTTTCTGCAGGAAACAAGTTTCTGTGATAAATTATAGTTTTGGAAACACTTTGAATATGACAATAATGCTAGAATTACCTTGGTTCAATAGTTTAAAAGACCATGATCAAACGGCATCCAAAATGCGGCCCTGTTCAATTAGATTTTTAATACATGGAAATAATACTTGACTTCAAATATCCATTCGTAATTCCATCCTTTTGCATCCGTCCGTTTTGATAGTGAATCTTGAATTATCATTATCCCTATCCCTGTATTTTGATTGTCAAATCTCAAAAGGTTTGCTGATAATAAAGTTTGTTTATTCTCTTTAAAGATATCAATGAATGCCTGGAATTTACTTTTAACTGCACCGATTCGTCACAAACCTGTTTGAATACTCAAGGATCGTACAAATGCGTTTGTGAAGAAGGGCTAATTTGGATCAACAACAAGTGTACAGGTAACTAATAACATACCCGCTTTTAAAAACGGCGCCTAAAAGTCACARTAGGTTATAGTAGGAGTGGGAATGTTGTTCGTTAAGCMCCGTTTACACTTGCGACTTTTGCAGAGCAATTCTCATGGCAATCGTCGCGCGACCATCGCCTGAGTTTCGAACATGTTTGAAATTTGGCTGCAACTTTGCGGCGATTTTCCATCGCCGCAACAATCGCAGTGCTGTTTACACGTACGATTTTAGTTGTGCGATAGCAAAGTGGCGATTATCGCGCTGCAAAAATCGCAAGTGTAAACGGGCTTTTAAACAGCATGGTGTCTTGCCGGGGTACTTGTGGCTAAGCATACTTTATAGAGGAAAATGGTTAGGAAGCCTTTTGTTGAAGGTTTTTGTGCATTTTTGTCCAAGCATGATCGTGCAAAATTAGCCATACTGGTCACATCTGAATAAAGGGAGGGAAATATATTGACTATCTCTTCAAAATACACAACAATTTTTAACCAATATTGAAATATTTCATTCCATAATCTCATAGAGAGTGTTTATGTCCACTCATTTTTCAATTTCCACCATACAACAGATGTACAAAAKAAGTACAACAAAGGGTTTCCAAACCATTCAGCTCTATTTAATATGATCTAAAGAAAAAAGACGTGATATCTTGATGTTAGCCCTTATGGCTTCGTTTACATGCTTTCTCGCTTCTGTACCGATAAGCAAACCCTTTAATATCATGTGAAAATTATTGAAGGTAGAAGAAAGCAGAACGGAAAGTCCACTCTTTGTCTTACCTTTTCTTCTTGTAGTTTGACAATGGATTGAATATCTGAGATGTCGACTCTTGAGTAGGAACGATCCAAAGGCGTCTTCCTTCATATTAAATTTATTTTTATATGAAAGTATGTGTCTCGTATCCGACTCTAGCCTGCTTAAGGCGTTCCTGCTGGGGAGGATGTGGGGGGGGGGGATGCAGAGAGAATGGGTCCGTTCCTCCCATCCTGTAAGCAGGTTACTCCGACTCCGTCTACATCGTTAGTGAAAATATAACTTAACAATTCAAAAAGAAGTTGTCATTTTCTAGCTCTCAGGCCAGGGGCGACAACGCCACCTCCACCAACAGCACCAGCACCAAGGGAACCGTCAGCATACGAGGTCGCCAACTCAGTCAACATAACCATGACAAACTTGAATGCATCTCAGGTAAAATTTACCACCCATTGCGCATGCTCTTAACCGCCAAATGAAATATGGTCAACAATGTTGTATGGTAGGGAATGACGATACTCTTAAAGYCAAGCTTCTTCTCTGATGCCAGAGAATAAAAGGAGACTTAGAGCTGTTTCAATATAGATAGAAGATTTCCAGATAAATATAATTAATTAATTTTATGTATATTTTTCGATAATTTTTTTTAGCGTTGTCGTTTTACCTACTCATTTTAACTGAACAGGAATGATTAATAATTATGGAACCTCGAGTCTGTCCGGTTTTTCTAATAAATGGAAAGCGCTCTTTTAATATATTTCTGGATCGGAGGATTCTGCTAAAAATGTCCATATTGTCATACCTTTATTCAGTTCAGTTGCCGGTGGTGTAGTCTGTAAGATTTGTTACCGTGCTTACCGTTCCACTCGTGTATCTTTGTTCTTCTTTGTAGTGGACAGAACCGAAGGAGTACAAGTTCAAACAAGTCGTTGCTGAAGGGGTGACTAATTTCTGTGCACGAAGTGAAAGCTGTACTCCAGTAGCAAACCGAGTCAAGTTAGTACATATAATAATTAACGATTTGTAGTGACGTAAAAGACGAGGTATTCGTGAAAGATAAAAATACTGTCTGTAACTAATTCAGRTTCCTATCCCAGAATATGTTGGGTCAACGGTTGGAAAATCTCTTATTTGAATTTTAATTTTAAAATGCCTTAACATGGATGAAACGTTTCTTTATTTGTATATACGCACTTCACCATGGAGATTATTGAATTGTWTGAGTTTCTCTTTCAGGCGCGCTCTAAATTTTGTTAACTTCCAAGCAGATCAAGTCCATTTGCTTCCAGGATTCCCTCTACAAATAATATCAGAACAACACAAGGCATCGTCCCTCGTTGCTCGCATCGCATTGTATGTGAACTTTCCACCAGGCGTGGTCCTCGATTCAAACAACACAATAAACAAAGAAAACCTCCTTAAAGCTTTGAATGGCACATGGGGAGATATTGAGAAAGCGCTTGGTGTTGAAATTCTCAAACTAACAACATACAAGTCAGACCATCCAACTAAACCAATCGAGAAGCCACGGCAAAAAGGGGATGGACTTAATATATATGTTATCATTGGAGCATCGGTTGCTGGAAGTGTGGYACTTATTATATTGGTGACAATTGTTGTGTAAGTATGTCCAAAATGACAAWAGACGCTAGCACTTTATATAAGACTTTGTAGACCTCGTTACCAGGARCATTGGCAGTTCAATTATGGACATTTTTATTGTCTTGTCCTCCCATTATTATTCAACTGTATTCAAAAAAATTGTCACGTGATTTGCCGATGTCAGGAGTGTCTCTATCCGACACTTTTATGTAGTCCATGCATAATATTCCATCTTATGTTCGATATCAAAGGAAAAAAAAACATTGCTTTATTTGACAACAGATTCTCTTGCGAAAAGACCTGACTAAACACAAAAAGGAGCACGTTATTACAACATCCTTGGCAATTTGCATTTTCCCGGGTTGAGACTAACACTGCATTCCGATAAAAACTAAAGCGTAGATTTCACTAAGCACGTGCTTCGTGCTTATGCCTATGCTTATGCGCTAGTGAAATCCACGCTTAAGGTTTTAGTCTTCCGGGAATACATGGTTAGACTCCAGTAAGGGAAAATGTAAATTGTTATCGCTGTTGTACTTAGTACATTTTCTCGTGTCTTCTTATGTGTTTGGTAAGGTCTTTGCGTATGAGAATCTGCTGTCAAATAAAGCATACCGGCTATTCATTATAAATTCGAAAATGCATGAGTATTTGTCCATTGCATTTTTTTTGAGCTAGCTATCCCTCTTTGTAGCGTTCTGAATCCGTCAAAAAAGAAGTAACATGTCTATTTTTATGATGTTTTAGTTGCTGCCGAAAACCATCAGATTCGAGGAAGCAGACCAATGGGTATCGAAATCGTGCCACGGAATCACAAGAAGACATTGCTATCGGACAAGAATCAATTGTATTAAATAGAATGCGAGCCAAAAATATTGACAATCATGATATAAGAAGTTCGTCAAGGTCTTCCCGTCGTTCAACACGGGTATCACCTTTTAATTCCTGAATACAAATGCTCACTCAACAGCAGTTTCTTAATAATCTGGTAACTTTTTGTGCCGCAATTTTTAGGTCTAGCTAAAGTGTTTTTATTACTGTCGTTTCTCTTGATCAGTGAGAGAACTTTGAAAACTATGCAAGATGTCCTACACAGGTCCTCTCGACTTTTTACAATTTTTCAGTACTAATAGATCGTTATGTGAATCAAAGTAACTCATTGCACAATCGTCGCATATACATTAGTCAAGTATTTTATTTAGGATAAAAACTGTTTCAAAAATGTTTAAAACTCAATAAATTAGTTATATTTTTAGAGGTATGACTTGTTGATAGAGCTGTGCTCAAGTGTTGCAATATATAAGGACAACATATTGTATTTTTAAGTAGTCTTTGTCAAAAGTAGTGTTTCAAACACGTTAAATAACTTTGAATACACCTTATTCCAAAATGGCTGACTAGCCCTTGATGTCTCTTTTTAATAAAATTATTCTTTTGTCTTTGAGCTTGAGCGACTTTAAAAGAAAAGAACAAGTTCATGAAAACGAGACATCAAGGGCTAGTCAGCCATTTTGGATTAAGGTGTATAATGACAAAGTTTAATTCGTACCAAGACCGTCCTTGAGTTCAATTGTTTGCTCTGAGATATCCTTTATGATGGAAATACACTGCATGATTGTTTTGTGCAAGTAGAAAAATAATTACGCTTCTCTATGAAGACGGGTTTCTAGTTACATTGCCTCAAGCTGGGATGATCTGGGTACAAGAACTAGCGAAAAWTTCATGTGTKTRTCAAAGCATTAGCTCTGTCCATATTAGGAGGTCTGCACGCAAAGGAGCACGGCAAAAYGCTGTTTGTTACTTTTAATTTTGTAGTCTGAATCRCGTTACTCAGCTTGAATGGARGARCACAGATTACTTTATAAATGCAAAMAGTTTGCTTTAAWTGGAATAARTATTATATACGACTTTGAACACTATTGTATAATTTGTACCTACAAACATAAATTCTTCATAAAGTTGGGCATTTTTAGAT